TATATATATATATTAAAAAACAAACAAATAATTGTTAAAAATATATCTTTTTTTAATTAATATAATATTAAAACACGTATACACCATACACAAATTGTGATACACTTGGAAAATGAAAGTTCCACTTTTTATCGAATTCTTCTTGAATTGTATCAAAAATATTATTCAATTTGATTATATGTATATATTAAGAAACATAATTGTATTAATATTATCTTACTTTATTTTATTTTCTCACGCGATTGTTATAGATACATATTTAGTAATATCAATAACGTTATTTATCCATATGTTAACATTACAAATACGTGTGTCAAATGAAGAATTATTTATTGTTATTTAAATAACAATTTATCGCGTAATTATCATCGATATGTATGTAACAATATTTATATTATTTCAATTATTGATTTTTTGATATTAATCTTCGAAAAAATATACGTACAGGGGTTGTTTATATATGCATGTACAGATTATAGTCTAATATTAGGGGCACACCTACATTTAGTTGTTCATTCGACCAACAGATGTCACTTTTTGATATTTTCAATATGGCTTCTATCACGTGACACACTTTGACAGGAAGGTTATTAATTATTATCAAGAACTCAATTAAACTGCTTATAAAAATTTATGACAATTGGTCAGATATTAAATCATATGCATTCAAATGAAAGAAGAAAAATCAATTTTATTATATTTGTAATATTAAAAAAAATTGATGCGATTAAATAATAATTATAGATTGATGATTCTTTTTCATTATAGCATATAATCATTTATATATACATAGTTATTCATATTTAATATTTTTGTAATGTATATATTACTACAATACTTATATAATTTACTGAAAAAAAAAATTAACATAAAAGTATATAATAATAATAATAATAATAATAATAATAATTAATAATAATAATATTGGTATAAATTCATGCTAATACCAACATCCATTAATTTATTTAAAATTACAATATTTCAATGTTTTCCTAGAGAGAGAGAGAAAAAAAAAAGTATGATGTGCGAAATACGCACTTCAAAAGATAATTTAATAGAAGAATATTATTATTAACATTACTTTTAACATAAAGGTTGCATATTTGAAATGGTAATAACATGTTTATAAATTAATCAAAGTTTCCGTGGTCTTCCTCTTTTCCTCAACGCCATGATCTTTCGTGTTGGTTGTCGAGTACTTCGTAATTTTTTTTGCAACGCACTCATTCCAGCGTACAATTTAAGATTATTATGCATTTTAAGATGACGTATAAAAAGCATCCTTGATTTAATTAATTTCTTACAAATTTCACATCGACGAATCTGTTTCTCTATTAACAACAAATTAAGCAGATGAAGGATATTCTGCTTGCGAATAAACACATACATATATATATATATATATATATATATAGAAGATATAAGTAATGCATATTTTGAACTCGAAATAAATCAAATAAATATAGATATTATTTTACCTGGTCTTTTTGTATCATGTTTCAAATAATGTGTACTTAAGGAAGCTGCGCTTGAAAACCATCTTCCGCAATCTTTGCAACATAATTTTTTAGTTTCCCACGAATGAACGTGATCCCGTTTTTTTTTCGTTCTTTTATGTATCCTCACATTTTCTTTAGTAACTTCCATAGAATATGATTCGTCAGAATCTGGTTCACCAGAAGATTTACTAGATATACGTCGTTTCCTTTGTGAATGTTCCAAACGCACATGACGAGCCAATGCAACAACAACTTCAAATTTTTCTTGACATATTTTACATGAATATAATTTGGTGTCTTTTTTTTTATCAACATTATTTACATGATCAATAGTTTCATGATCGAATTTACCTACATCGGATGATGATTTGGAACAAACACGCGAATGTGTATCCAAAGCTCTCTTTTGTCTGAATCGTCTTGAACAAAATTCACATTGCATGAGTGTTCCCGTATGTTTGGAAACATTTTCTTTCACCTCATCATCATCATCCGAATCTCCTACCATTATTATATCATTTTCTTTGTCACTAGAGTATTTGTCTTTATTTTCATCGATAGTTATTTCAACGATATTCTTTTCCTCGGACGACATTTTTTCATCTTCATCAAGATCTATATTAATAATCTCGATAACTCTTTGTTTCATTCTCATTAAACTTTTTGAATTATTCCTTTTACCATGGTATTCAGAAGGTGAATTAAATCTTCTTCTTCTACCTCTTGATTTTGTACTTTTTTCTATTTCCGCTAACAAAGATGCCGGTTGAATGATTATTTCAGAATCTTCACGATTTACTGAAGTTAATTGTTGTTTACGTGGTCTCTTTGCTTTATACACTGTATTTATTGGATTAGATTCGTTACATATTTCTGTATCTTTACTTGTATTTAATCTATCTTCATTTGACTCTATTCCTGTTAAATAAAAACAAAATGTACATTTATATATACAGTAATGAACAAAACTGTACACACTTTATACAATTTTTGAAAATGTTTCAATTGATTCAAATACACAATGTTGATCAATGAAGATTCAGTTTTAATTTTGTTTATCCTTAAAAAATGCAAATTAATTGTACTTATTTGTAATTCAAAATTACAAAATATTGTATCAACACAACAACATTATTTGGAAGACAACCAAAGTTCTTTTATGACTACAAATATGAAAGAAGAGGACAGAAACCTCAATTAGTAAATAAACATTCATAAAATGCTGACACACAAAAAATAAAAGCACTTTTAGTATTTGCATTAAAAAAAAAATTACAATAATTGGACCACATTGATAAATGGAATTACTGTTTCAAAGTTTATGTTCTATTGTTAAAATTGTGAGATATATATTAATTTCTTTTCCAAAAAAAAAAAAAAAAAGAATGTTTAAAGTGTGTTCAGTTTTTGCTCATCGCTTATTTACAATAATATTTGTGTTGATTGAAACAAAAACAAAAAAACAAAAAAACAAAAAGAAAAGAGTTATCATACCATTAGAAAGAATCATTTTAGAAGATGATTCTTCTAGTTTATTAGATTCGTCATCTATTTCTGTTCTCATGTATGATTTCTTAGACAGTCGATCGTGTTTCATATTTTGAAGAGTTGATAAAACTTCACCGAATGTTAATTCTGAATCAGATTCATTGTCTTCGAAAAAAATATATTGCACTGTAGATTGTTCTAATATTTCCTCGTCACTTTGAATGTCTTCATTAACAGGTGATGTATCTATCATAAATATACTTCAAATTATGATATGAATTGTAAATAATAAATATAATAATTAATAATTATATGTAATATGAGATATTGTTAAATACCTAACATCATATTACAATCGTCCACCATTAAATATGTTACATTTGAGTCTTCAGATTTATTATTATCATCCACAACAAGTTCATGCTTTGTATCATATTTTTTTGGCGATTTTTTAATCCACGTCGTTTCATGTTCTTTTATCTGATCGTTATCTTGAACCATATCTTTACCAAAATCATCTTCCTCTTGATTCATTAGACATTCTTTAGGTAATAACACAGAAGATTGTGGAGTTAATAAATGTTTTTTTATCTGTGATGGTTTCTTCACCACATTTACAGCACCTTCACCTATCAATCTTTCCACATCTACTCTATAAATATAATTGTTTAATAAATACGTCTAATACGTTTACACGAATGATCTCTATATACAGTAAGTTATATTTATAGTTAGTTAAATGTTATACATCTAACATACATACTTCATAAGGAATTGAAAATTAGTTGGAGGTTCACCAGATTCATCGTAAAGAGAAACAGCAAAAATATCATCATTATCCTCAACTGCATATAATGCTAACTGTTGTCCAGCAGCAGTAACAAACATTGCTACTGTTTCATCATCACCTTGAGATTCATCATCGGTACTATTATAATAATCAATCGTTCCATCCTTTATCATATCAGATAACTATTTGAATATATAACAAATAACAGTTGAAACAATTTTTATGTACTTGCATGTATATATATATATATA